TACTACGTAGTGTACGAGGTATGCGGATACATCATACTACAGATACTCCGTACTGACTAAGATTTCTGCATGCAATAGCAGCATCCCATGTCAAAATCAAAGTGCATCATCGTCCTGTCTCTGGACTGTTGCTTGGAAGCGTTGCGCCGGATCTGATGTTTCCGACTGTCACTGCCTGTGCTGCACTCCGATAGGTACCAAGCAAGTTGTGCGCGCGGGTACCGCTGCAAGAACCTGGGCAGACGGAAAGCCGCAAGCCGCAGCGCACCTCAACACGGACTGACGAATACCTGGCAAGGAGCTGTGCTGCGCCTGCAGACTGCCCTCGCCGACCTAGCGCAGCTGGACCCTGAATTGCGTGTCTACTTTGGGGGATTGGGATCGTCCGCCCTAAGGCACCCTGGGTAAGTGGTAAAGTACCTTGAGACGTTGAACCCGTATGAACTTGTAACAGCGGCCTCCAGCTATCACATCGGTACCTAGACAGGTGGGTGAACCGTGATTGCCTCGGACAAAACACCAAGGGGACATCGCCATCTACGGCCTGGCCTGGTGACTGGAAATGTCACCAATTATTCCAACCCATCACAGGCTTTTCTACTCCGTACAGTAATCCAGTCTCTCTTCTGGCCCCTCTTGCAAAACACAATTCATCACTCTTGTTCCTTTTTTACACACACAGTCATGGATGGAGCGAAATATCATCCCAAGTCGTGCGCACACGGGATGAGAACTGTCTCTCCCTCTTACACTTGACCAGCTAAGTAAATCTCACTTTGGTGACATTGCCTCATTTCCTCTTAGACTGGTCGCAAAGAGTCACCAGTAGGTCAAAGAAGAAGACGAAAGCCAAGAAAAGCTCCCAGCGCTGCGCGTCAGACCCCATCGATGACGTAGCCGCCCCTCTCCAAAACCACCAAACGGGTGACATTCGCTGTAACCTCACCACCAACACCCCGTCCCGTTTATTTTCCAAATTCCACATCACTATCCGTACCTATCCGTATTGACTCTACCTATTGATACCTTACCTTACGTTAGTACGGATAGGTAATCCCCGTTCCCAGTCTCCCTCTGCATGTTCGTAGCTCGTCGGATATCCGCCAACCCGCTCTTAGTCGCCCGCGTCAAATCATCTTCATCATGGAAGATGCTGTCACCACCACCACCACGACCTCTACCAGAATAGCAGCTCTATTCTCCCACCTTGTGAAGGACGTGACGCATCCGTCCCACCCGGCCGGGCCGTCCAGTCTCCCAATCCAGAGAAACACATCAACCATTGAACCAACAAGCCTGAACCGTTCCAGCTGAACCTGAAGTCCCCAGCCCAATCAGCGCCAACCGCAGCACACAACCACCCGAGCTTAATCGAGGTCATGATCGTCTCACCCCCTTCCCCCAGCCAAGCGTTGTTTTCAGAAATTGGGTAGCCGATTGCCAAGTACCTTGCCCCGACTTTCCCATCAATCAACCATCCTTTTTTTCCTGTTTTGTTTCCCCGTGCACGTCGCATCCTGCCGCAAACATAACCCCCGAGTCCCACGGGGGCCGATGGAACTCGGCATGCCTGAGCATTGCCTCCAAGGTTAAGCTGACGGGAGCGTGTGGCGCGCGTGGGGAAGCTTTCCCCGTCGGATAATCATCAAACACCCTTCACCCGCTTTAGTTCAATAACGGTCGACAGTGGCGAGTACAAAGCGTTTCTTCAGATAAACGGAAACTTCATGTGCAGAATACCTCGAACAACACGCATCAGAACTGGGCTAAGCGGCTACTGAGTGCATCAGACGGGTGTGCGTGGCACAAGGTAGCCTGTATCAAATGCTGTCTTGTGCTGTCTTGACAGTCAAAGACGCCGCCGCTCTGAGATCAGATGCTGTCCCCCAAGACTACTTGCAATATACTCAACTTCACTTTATCGAATTGTCACATACGACCATACCCATTGGAAAACTCGGGATCCCGTCCGCTCTCCCATAGATAAGCCAATGAGGGCCGGATTAGTAGTTGGGTCGGTGACGACCAGCGAATACCTGGTGTTGTATGTTTTTTGAAGTTTTGCTCTGAACATCGTGAGATTGCTCAGCGGCGTAAATATGAAGGGTGCCTGCGGTTGTTGCATGCTGACCATCCTATTTTGGGGTAAACTTTTCGCCGAGTAAAGAACCCTCGCTCCTTGTCTGCTGGTAGTCGTGATCCCTGATCAGATTGGACTTAACTCCGTGCCGTTATGTTTGCGAAGCACAAATGATCCTCCTCTTGAGGTAGGTAGGTAGTTCATTTCCATACTTCCATCTTAGCTGACAGTCAGTCCAAGTACGGAACCTCGTCCTCGGATGAACCCTAACCTGTTTGTTTCCCCGTTGTCGTCCATGATACCGAGTCTGTGCCTCTAGGTTTAGGGGTAAAGTTGAGGTCAGGAAATAGCGGACCCATAGCGTTCATCTCATGTTGCTTTCGAGATGAAGCGAGTCTATCCCAACTCCGATCTCATCCCCCACCCCCCCCCCCCCCCCCCCCAAGTGATGTTTGATTACCGGCCAAGTATTTCGTATTCAGCACAGACATTGACGGTAAACACATTGAATATTGCACGCTTGCCTGATTTCAATGTTCATCTCATCCACTCAAAATGCGTAAATTGTGCAGCTACTAGGAGGCGGTAATACCGTCTTTGGACTGGGTGTAGCAGTCCTCGGGAACCCAAACGCCATGATATGCTTTGACCGTAACCCGAACGCTCGACGCCATCCCTAACATTGCGATTGCTATGCCTCCTCTGGTTTCCAAGTTCAACTCCAGCCCATTTCGTCAAATCGAGCAAATACCTGTCCCAATTCATTTCGTCGTTTGGTCCGGCCGCCAGGACCAGGCCAGCTCACATCTCTCTTTCTCAAGCCTCTGGCATAGGGGCACTGTCCGCCACGGGCTCCATAGGTTGGAGCTTCGTCTTCCGCCGTGGCGGCGGTGCTTTTGGTGGTATCTTCTTATGTCCATTCAAATGCAACGTCGTCGTCGGTCCGACCGGAACGCCATGTCGGTGTTTCGGTACCTCGGGCAGCGGCTTCTTCGGCCGCACACCGCCTGCCCCGGCCTTGGCCTCTCCTTGTTTGGCTTCCGCGTCCGCCTCGGCCTTGCGACTCGGGGTGATGACACCAGGTTTCTCCATGACGGCGGCGACATCGACGACACTAACGCTGCTCGCTGTGTCCGAACGTGTGAGACTGATGCCCAGGAACTTCCGAGCCACCTCTGCCTCGCCAGAAGCCTCCTGATCGACAAGCCATTTCACTTTGGAGACTCTGTCGACCAGACGTACTGTCGTTTCGTCTGCAGGGGCAAAGTGAGAATTTCCGTAACCGCCCAGAATCCTCAAAACTTTGAGCACCTCATCACGCTTGTAGTGCGGCGGGTGGCTCAGTTGCGTGTGCGCCAGGAGTGGATATAGGACTCGTAAATATGTGTGACGGAGTGATATCTTCTCGTCCGGCAAGTCCATCAGGTTCCTAATGATAACGTCAAGGAGAACCTTGAGGTCATTTGTGTAGAAGTATTCGTAAGTGGCTTTGGTTGTAAATAATAGATAAAGGAGTTTCAGGATCAAGAGTTGCAGAGAAGTCTCGGTCTCGCGATTCAATAGTAAAATAATGTTCTCTCCGAATGTACGGAACGAGTCACCATGGAGACTAAGGCACTTGATGACTCTGTTTGTGAGAGGGGCGTTGGGCGAGTTCGGATCGGAGGCGACGTCGGTAGATGCGAGCATGTACTGTTCGTTCAGAACCAACTGTTTTTACATTCGTCAGCGCCAGTGACAGGCGGGAGGGAGCATGGGGAGGATGGTTATACCAGCACTCGGATGATTGGATAGTGGTATGGGTCGTGCACGTCGTTGGATAACTCCTCGATTATCTGGAAGAGGTATGCAACGAAGCCATCATCGACCTGAAGCAAGTCGGCGGTGCGCAACCTTTCCACCCGGGACATTTCGTACATCAGCTCCAGAAGTAAGCGATGCAGCCTCAGATCTTGCTCTTTACGGCCATTAATCAGCTCGAGGAGGCGAGGAAAGCACGCCTCCTCGATCATACGAGAGTACAAGGCCTCGTCCGCATGGCCGTCGAGCAGAAGGAATAGTACAATGGCGTGCAGCGACGGGGGTTCGTCCTCCTGGAGAAGACTATAGACGATCTGGTTGCGAATATAGTCCTTGTTGTCTTGGAACAGCTTGCATTGCAGTAGCTTCTCGCAGCAGGCGGCGACATCGTCTTCGTTTTCGGGGAACTTGTCTCTGAACCTCGAAGTAAGATAGAGCCACGATCGAAGGGTCTCGTCGATTAAGTCGTGGGACTGGTATTGAGTAGTGACGACGTCGTCGAGCTCTGTAGTTGACGATGAGACACTGGTCAGCGACAAAATTCCACGACGCGCGCAGTGTGCGATGCGGGAATGTGAGGTCTGAGAAAGCACGAAGTTTACAGCATCATGAACAACAGCAAGGCGGGGGGGAGAAGAAGAGCAAGGAGGGGTTGAATTTGGGGGCGAACTCGGCTGACCTTCCCAAAATTGGTGCTTGGTCTCGAGAGACTCGTAGAGATCAAAGTCGGCCATGATGCTAGAACCACCGCTGATACGTGGGTGGAATGGTCTGCATCACCGGCGCAGTGCAAACAGCAGCTGCTGAAATATGGGAGGAGAGAAGGAAGAAGAGGAAGTGTTAGATACTTGGTGGGATGAAGATGAGGCCGGCTGGAGTTTCGACTCTTTGGGATTTGATACAACACATGGCTTGACAACAAGGTCCCCCTCCTTAGGTACCTTGTCGGGCCAGGGCAGCCTGCACTGGGTGACTGGGTCCAGGCCCGAGCTGGATGAGGTAAGGACGTTCCACCCTTGGAGCACTGTAGCGGCTGTACAGGCCCGCTGTGCCCACTGAGCGGCAGCGGCAACACTGATTCCTAAGGTACGGGGGTGAGGTGGATGGCGGCTGCCCTTCAGTGAGTGGAGGGGAGGTTTTTTTTTTTTTTTTTTTTTTTGGAGTGAAGTTGGGGGAAATGGGAAGAGGAGGGGGAGTGGAGGGGTTGGGGGACACCGACCTTCCACCTCGCTGAAAGGTAGTCGCTGTTCCGGTGACAGCACACACGAGCACCTGATCCCACCTTACCTGTCTCGCCTCAAAGTTTTTGCAAGCCCATCCATGCCTCATGATCCCCAAAGGAGATGGAGGAAAATTTGTGACCTTTCCGAGTCAAACGCCGAACATAAGGCATGGGATAACTAAGAGTTTTTGAAGTGCACAATGCTGGCCGTGGTCACCTGTCAAAATCTCCAAAGTTGGCAATGTATAAATTATGCTGCGAGCTCTATGTGTGTATCGTATATCTCGTTCAATAATTACCTATTAAGACAAAAAGACTAAAAGAATGGGAAGGAAGAAATTCATTGAATATGAGGGTATTGTATCCGTGTCGTAACCATCCCCAAATGCTCCAAATACCCTTGGTGACCTGGCACCATAAACGCCTTTACTCGGATGGCTCATGAACTGTTGCCGACCAGTTTTTCCAATGTCTCCTCCCAAGTGTCCTGCTCCTCATCAGGTCTCTGGCCATCGTCGTACACCTTGACCTTGTCGGCGTACTCCTTGATGTTGCTAACAACATAGTCGGTAATCGTGTTGCCCTTGCCTGCCGCGATCCTCAAGATGAGCTCGTTCAGATGTTGCCGCCCGAGAATATCCACGTGGTCTGCCGTCTTGGGTCCTCCGCGGGGGTTGAACCGCTCAGGTTCGTGCTCCATCTCAACAACCGTCACTTTGACACCGGCCGGGTTGTACCTTTTGTAGTTCCATCCGCGGTTACACATGTATCCCGTGCTGAGAAGATTCACTGTTCCGTCACCCTCTCCCATGACGACACCATGATCCACCTCTCCTTGTGTGAGTGTTGTGTCGATTGTGATGTTCAGGTTCGTGAGTGCCGGCGCATCTGGTGACCGATAGTAGTAGCCTCGCTCCGTTGCCTTGCCCACACCGTAGAAGCAGTAGATCTTGAGACTCGGTGCCAAGGGCAGACGTGTTTCCAGGGGGTTGATCCACTTGTTTGGGTCCTTTTCGTTGGCGTCGACCTCGGCTTGAGTGTGAGCTACACCATGGGAGTAGGCTCCCTTCACATTCCTCGAGTACCACTCCTCTGTTGTGTTGAAGAGGTAGTTCATGGCCGATTCGACCGTCAGATTTCGATCCGGAGTTGTCCAGTTCATGCCGCTGCGGAAGTTGAGGAGAGATCCGTAAGACAGTTCCTGGTCTGGCTTGTCATCAGGTGCCCATGTCGCATTGCCCCAAACAGCGTCCCCTCCGATAGGAAGCATGGAAGAAATGCCAGGCATCGCTCGGAAGAGTTGAGCTCTTTCGTCTTTGCTCAAAAACTTCTCGAGTCCGTACACGGCAAAGGCGTTGAGCTGAGCTGTGTCTCTCATCTCACCTGACAAGACAGCCGTCAAGTCCTTGACAGCGCCAAGCATGCAACCACTCACGTTGATCCACGCCTCGACGTGCTGCTCGACCCAGTCGTCGCCACCACGGCCACCGCTCTCAGATGCGACCCAGTGGAAGAAGTAGAAAAGAACCTGTCCTCCCATGCTGTGAGACACGAGAACAGCCTTCTTGCCCGAAAACGCATGCGCGGTTTCAATGTAAGACTTGAGCCTCGAAAAGTACTGATCGCGAGTTTCAAGGTTAGGGTACGCCAAACGCCAGTCGTAGGCCGCGGTGAAGGAATTAGTCGGGTCGTAGCCTATCGATGCCAGATTCTCGAAAATCTTGTTCCAGATCCAGTAACCAGTGATGAAGAAGTCAGTTGCGTCGAAGCCTTGGGCAGCTCGTAGCTTGATATGAGGGGGGTCAAGGCCGGTGTCCTGGTCCAGCATGATGTGTTTCTTCCAGTTTTCCTTGTCGAGAACCAGCGCACGCATCATGCTCCAACTACCCCAGAGTCGTTTTCGGAAATACTGGCGGGAAACGTTGGCTGTGCCCCACGACTCAAGACCAGTCGAGATGACGCCGGGGACCATGATCATGGGATGGTGGGCATGGAGACCCTCGGCGCGAGCCTGTAAACCTACGGAGAATGCATCGTAGCTATCGACGAATTCTTTCTCGCCTTGCTTTACAGCCAGCCTTGTTAGTTGTAGCCAGCTAGATAATGCACGCCCGTCAAAGACGACAGCTGAATTGTTACTGACCACAAGCTCCCTCATGTCCTTGACCAAGCCAGCCGGCAAAACATCGAAGAAGCTGTCCATGCTAAGCTCTCCAAGTTCAGGGAAATCGATGAGGTCGTTGCTTTTTGCGAAGAAGCCGGCAGCTAATAATCCGAACAAACTTCCAAGTAAGAAGATGGCGCCATTCCGGCGTTTCCGTGTCTTGGGTTTTACATGGTGGACGACGTGAGCCACAGTCTCGGATTTCTCGGGGCTTTCGTCTCGAGGGGTTGAAGGTTCGCTGTCGATGTTGGTGTCGGGGGGAATGGCTCGGCGCCTAAGAGTCGAGGAAGACATGGTCGCGGTCGCAAAGAGCTGTTGCTACGCGGAGGTGCTAGTAAAGCCAAGTTAGCTCTTGAGATCGATGTTGTAAGATCTGAAGGATGCCAGGCTGGATCGTGGAAAGCAAGGGCCAGACGGCACATACCTGAGCTTGGGATGAAGTGGGAGCGAGGACGGTGTAAACTGCGCTGTCCTTGGGCGTGGGCTGGTACTTATTGGGAGGCACGTGGGAGAGGGGACGGGGTGAGCTAAGCGGCGAGCAAGGGGGGGACTACCTATGGCAGATCCAGAGCTACGCAAAGCTTGTTTCGTGATTTGCTGGACAGACAGATGGGAAAGACGGATGTCGAGAGGCAGCCCCGAGGCATGCGGAATTCAGCTGCACTTGGCCGGGCAATATCGAGAGCCAAGGAGTCCGGAGCTCGGGGGGTGGGATGTTGGAGGCGGCCGAGGAACGAGCAAAAAAAGATGCATGAGCTGCTTGACTGCTCCGTGCGGCCCGACGTGACGTCAATCTCCGAGGGGGCCAGCGTCTTTTTTTTTTGCATCGTGCAGTTCGCCAGATAGGTACGATAAGGTACTTAATCATTGGGTGTGTTTTGGCACGACTTTTTCGTACCGGACCTTGTCATGAGGGCCCCCGGCAGATGTACAGGCACCATGCCGCCTTGGGATACAGGGGTTTCCACTGAACGAGGGCAATCAACGTGCCAACTTGAGAAGTCGAGGCGCGGCGCTGAAGAAAACCCCGTGTCCATCTTGAATCCATCTATACATTAATACCACTTATTAGTAAGTCGATAGTAGGGTATGGACATTGGTGGGTTTTCGGACGGTGCCTGTCGCCGCGCAGAAATACCCCGAAAGCAGCCAAATCACTCCCTTCCTTTCTTGGGACAGGTAATGTGTACCTACCTTACCTTACGATGTGAGGCAGGTAGGTAGCAATAAAAGGTGCTTACATGTGATAGACCTTGGATGAACCCCATTGCATGAACGCAAGCAAAAATTTAAACTTGGCAGCTTTGACGGGGCAATTCCCTTGGCTTGAATAAGACATCAGCAATTCCTACCTGGTAATCGAGATATAGCCTTGCCTGGAATAGGTACTCATCCTACCTAAGTAGTTTGACAGCCCTCATAAATACCATCCAATACAGCACAGTCGCGCTGGCAAGCGTGAGGCGCCACCATCTCTGGCTTCACCCTAATGCACCTCACCTGAACCACGTGCTTGCCTCACCTGGTAGATGCTTCACCTCTCCACGATCTCAAGTTTTCAGAAAGCTCAACTAGGTGGTGATTAGATGAGTTTTCTTGGGTGCCTGCTGAAGCCAATCTAGGTATCCAATGAGAGGACTATCCAAGTAGCACGAGGACGACCGTTTGACATGTGACAGTGAAGGAAATTGACGGCGTTTGACTGAAAAAGGAATCTCACTGAGGATGGGCGGTGGACAACAGCCCAGGGCCGCCCGTCGGTAGACCCCACTAAATGGCCTGGCCGCACAACTGCCTCCGAATCCGATAGGGACTATGGGCGAGGATGGTGGGCCTCCGGGCGGGGTCTACCGCGTACTGCAGTTGGTAAGGACACTGAACACCGCACGGTCTGAGCGGAGCTCACTGACCTGAAGCACCGCAGCCAGAGTGCCACCAGACTGGAACTCGACTCAGTTTTGGGTATCGAATGCAGCGTCCCCCGACTCCGACTCCGACTACCTACGCCCATCAACTTGCGCCTGCAAACGCACATATCACGAACCCCGGTTTGAGCCTTTCAAGAATCACACCTGTCTCATAAACCACCAGCTGCGGCAGAGCCGCGCCCTCTCCATCTTTAGCATTCCTGGCTTTACTATTCAGCGAAGCGCTCGTCATACTGCGAAACCCGGCTATTTGCTCGCACTTTCTCTTCTCATCCGCCTCGTCACGGATCAAGAGACTTCACTTGTTGCCTTCTTTCTTACGCGCCCATACAGATTGTCATGCCTTGAGACCTTTTCACGTGCCGGTATAGGCTTGTGTGCAACCTCTCATTACGAAATCTCATATCTTTCAACTTCACTTCATCTCTTGCCTGCGAAATACCGGCCTCAAATAGAGATATACCCCGCGAGACAGCAACATGGACGTTTCCAAGGTCACCCACCTCCCCGCGGATCTGCAGTACATCCAGTACGAACACGGTCTAGAAGCGAAATACCTTCCAGCTATACGCTCTCTGATCGCAAAGGACTTGAGTGAGCCATACAGCATCTATGTCTATCGATATTTTCTATACCAGTGGGGCCACTTGTGCTTCATGGTCAGTAACTCTCAACCCCCTCCTTGCGTGCGTGTCATCGCTGTTGCTTACTACACTACAGACCTTGGACCCCGCCGACGGATCTCTTATTGGCGTCATCATTTGCAAGCTGGAAGTGCACTCGTCTCACTCGCCGCCAACGCGCCGGGGCTACATCGCCATGCTCGCCGTGGCCTCGCCGTATCGCGGTAAGGGCATTGCGACAGCCCTCGTGAAGAGGGCCATTGGTGCCATGGGCCAGCGGAACGCGGATGAAGTGGTTCTGGAGACAGAAGAAACCAACACGCAAGCTATGCGCCTGTATGAGCGTCTTGGGTTCTTACGCTCCAAGAAGCTGCATAGATATTACCTTAACGGCAATAGCGCCTACAGGCTGGTACTGCTGCTCAATCCTATCGACCCGGATGCCGCGTTTGATGATTCGGATGGCCAGTCTCCCTGACTAGGGGACTATGGGGAAGATCTGCTTCTCAAGTCAAAGAGAATGCTGGAGAACACATGCGGCGTTTTCTAAAATTAACCGCCTGGACCGGCTCATACGAGTGAGTACTGAAAGATCACACAAGGGTTATATAAGAGCGGGCAGGGTATCGCCGATGTTTTGGAACAGGACATTGCGTGGGTTAAGACGTTAGCATTACTAGGGGCATCGGTGCAAGATTTGGAGGTCTATTGTGTCATCGATTCTTATAGATGGTCAAGCGGTGTACAGAGGGACAGAGGCATCTTTTGGCAGGGCGTATGTCGCAATCCGTATTCACACAAACACACACACACACACACATGACATAAGCTCGTGGCAGTACTCTGTAGTACGGCTTAGCAGAGGTACATATCAAATCTCATGTACATCAGAGGAGCAGAGATGAACGGGAGACCATCTTCTCAGCCTTGGTGACAATCGAATGCTCTTTTCTTTCGTCTATTTGAACCAGTCCAGCTGGCTGTCCTTTCTCACCCTTGACAGTATGCATGCGCCGGGCTGAGTACTAGTCTCTCTGGCCATCTCAAGCTTACTGCTACACACACCTGCGCAATCAAGTGAACCACACATAAGCTGCTCTTGGGGCGCGGGGAACTGATAGCTGTCTAGGACAAGATATCCCTAGAGCTGTAAATCGAGGCTTTCATGCCCCAATGGTTGCCGTGAGCAATACCGAGATATGTGAAGGCATCTTTGACATGTCAGATTTGCAATCCTTTTTCTCGCGATAGGAGACTTCCACAAACCTGGCTTGTAGTAGATGGGACGTCCCATGGCCTCAACGAGCTTGAGCTCTCTCAGCCGACGCATGACCCGGGTGACATCTGCCATGTCACTGAAATCGGCCGTATAGACGCATACGATTCGGTCTTTTCGACCGGTAGGGTCCGTATACGGATTCCACGGGGCGACTTTTGCGGCAATGCCCAGCTCGTTATTGGCCGTGGCCCTCGCTATGACGCTCCAGACTTCGTTGACATCCTTGGGCTGACAGAAGAGCATCCACTGTTGATGAGAATCAGCCATCATATTGCAGTACGCGCAGGCCTTGGTGAGCACTTGCCTTGCCGGCCTTAATCTTACACATGTGCGCGAGGCCCATGATGTCTCGAGTAGTATCTTCTAATTCTTGCCTGAGCAATTTTGCCTGTAACGGCTTGGACTTGTTGGTCTTCTCGAGTCCTTGCTTGTAGTTGAGTAGGATCTCTAGTCTTTCAGAGCCCCCCTCGATGAGAGTATCAAGTCGTGAGCCCTCTTCCTCGGGTGCTTCATCCTCGTTGCCTCTGCTCCGCTGGTTCTGGGCATTGAACCTATCCTTCCTGCGGATGTACGGGTTGCAGACGAAAATCCACGGGAGCTGCTCGCTATGCTCCGTCGTCTCGGGAGGGAGACGATCCAGGAAGGCATCGACGGTCTCCGTCAACTGCCACGCGTAGGGAACACCGGCGTATGGATTGTGGAGTTTGGTACTGTCTAGAGGCTCCTTCTTGACTTTTCGGTCCATCATCGACGTCGAGACCGCAGCCGCGTTCCTCTCTTCCCACCACTGCGAAACGTCGAATGACGTAACGCGAGACTCTAGGTCGGCGACAATCTCATCGTCCCCTAAGTGCGAATTAGTTCGTCTTGTCAATGTCAATCGAGTTCATAAAGGATGCAAACCGTAGAAATCGGATTCATCAGAATCCATCTTTGCCCAATGCAAACTGTAGGAACCGCAGGGGGCGACACTCAGATATGATGAACAATGGAAGTGCCTTGTCTTGCAGTGAGAAACGCGAGGAAAATGCGGTGAACGTTTATTGATTCGGAGCAGAAAAAGAAAGCATCACCCCAGTGAGAAAGACAGACCGTCGATTATTGTAAACAAGTACCTTAGTTTCGACAATGTGAGGGCAACGTCATCCTCTTATGTATTCGTATAAGGTACGTGCGGACGGGGGTAACGTGTCGATAAAGTTTAAATCTATTGGAATGAAGGAACAAGGGGATGCTTCTGATACCCCGTCGTTTTTGGAAAGGATTGCAACTTTCGAACCGATTAGCGGCTGCCAAATTCCGGGGTCGGGAGTTGCGGGATCCTTCCGCCTGCGCCGGGGCCGATAAACCCTCCCGGAACTCTTTGGCGAGTTCAGAACCTAAGAAGCACCGCACGTCAAATCTCAAATTCGACCTTCCCCACACCTTTTCCCCGGACTTCAGACTGGACACTGCCGAAAAACGAGACAAGGCAGCATACTCAGTGAGACATTCTCCATCTTCCAAAATCCTCACTGCGCAGCCGAAAGCTGGGAGTTTGGAGTTTTTCTTTTCGGTCCAAAAGAAGAGACAACCCTCACACAATCCCACAATGGGTAACTCAGCCCCAATCATCACCTCAAAGCAGTCTCTTATCCTAGACTTGCCCCCAAGTTGCATAGAGTTTTGCTCGTCACACCCGTCCTATTTCGTGGTCGGCACCTACAACTTGGTCAAGGAAGAGGAGACAACAACCGAGTTGTCAGAAAACGCAGATGTTGCTGTTCTCAAGAAACCTCAGAACCGGAACGGTAGCTTGATTGTGTACCAGCTCGTAGACGGTCTTGTGTAAGTCTGTGGCTTGCGTACAGGAATAAACATCTTCTTTTTCTCTTTGACTCACTCGTCCGTAGGCAACAAGTGCAAACACTCTTGCATCCTGCAGCGATTCTTGACCTGCACTTCTGCCCATCAGCAGGGCGGCAGGACATCCTGGCTGTGGTCTCGAGCACAGGAACACTTTCCATCTTTAGGTTGAATCCCGTAGCCGATGCTTCAGAGCCATTGAAGCATTTGGCAACGAGCAGAATCTCCGATGTCCCTGAAGGGGTTCTGTTCCTCTCTGGGGTCTGGGACCCCAACAACGCTGCCTCTATTGCGCTGACAACCTCGTCTGGTGAGGTGCGCATTATGAGACTCGGCGATTCATGGGAGATCATAGACGAAGAGGACTCGGAGGCTATCATCACGCATTCTCTCGAGGCCTGGACTGTGGCTTTCTCGCCACCCGATCAAGCCACGCCTTTCATCCTCTACTCGGGAGGAGACGACTCGGCGTTGCGATACACGTCGTGTTCTCGCAACGAAGATGCCGGTATCGAGGCTCTGTATACGCCCCTTAACGTCCCCGGCCATGGTGCTGGCGTGACGGCTATCCTTCCGATACCACTCACTCTCGCAGACAACTCGCGACTACTAGTCACTGGCAGTTATGACGACACAATAAGAGTATTCTCCGTACAACCGCCGCACGAGACATATGGTATGCGGAAGGTCAAATGTCTGGCAGAGGAAAATCTAGGAGGGGGAGTGTGGAGGCTCAAGTTGATCGACATGACGAGCACTGCGGATCGATGCCGCCTGCGCGTTCTAGCATCATGCATGCATGCGGGAGCCAGAGTTGTCGAACTCGAAGGTCCGCTGAGTGGCGAAGCCTGGGCTGTTACTGCCCTGGCCCAGTTCGAGGAACATAAGAGCATGAATTACGGCAGCGACTTTGTACCTGCGCCGGGAAGCAATCGTCTTGAGTGTGTGTCGACGAGCTTCTATGATAAGCTCTTGTGCCTGTGGGAGGTAGAACTGGCCTAGGAGATGATGGGAGGAAGCAAAACATGACAGAAGTCATCACGACAATGGAAGAAATCAACACAATTACATTGTTTCGCTCGAGACCAATGGGATAGAGAGGCAGATGACAGAGAAACATGGGCAGGCTAGCCATGGTGTCTTGTCTTTCCCCCAGAGCCACTCGCTGGCTCTATGTACGTCTGAAAGGATAGGGCCATCAAGGTTGTGATTAAAGTCAAGTACCTTAGACAAGAGGGATTGCTGAGTTACGGAGAGAGCTTAACCATAGTTTCCTTGCATACATAATCAGGCTGATGTGATTTCTGACGAGGCAGTTCCATCGTTGTGGGAAATCGGGCAAATCAAAAACAGATGCTGCATCTTGCGTCAAGGGGTAGTCTATTGGATAATCTCTATTTTTGTGAGAAACGTGGGGAGGTGTAGGTATT